TGACTCAGCTAACATTTGGGAGCCAGTTCGCTACATGATCCTACCCAGGATCTTTCCTCCTCTTTCTGTCCTTATCATCTCTACTAACCCTTCTGTCAGACGCACGGGCTGATGACACACTCCTACTAAGCCCTACAAGCCTTCTGCCCTGGTGTGGTGGTTTGAAAGAAAATGGCCCCCAAAGGGAGAAACACTAGTAGGAGGTGTGGTTTTGTTGGAGTAGGTGTGGCCTACTCCACACCTTGTTTTGTTAGAGGAAGTGTCACTGTGGAGGTGGGCTTTGAGGGCTCATCTATGCTCAAGCCACGCCCAGTGGTTCAGTCCATTTGCTATTGCCTTCTGATCAAGATGTAGCTAGAATCATGTCTGCCTGCATGCCACCATTCCTGCCATGATGATAATGAACTAAACCTCTGAAAATGTAAGCCACCCCAATGAAATGTTTTTCCTTTATAAGAGTTGCCATGGTCATGGTGTCTCTTCACAGCAGTAGAAACCCTAACTACGGCACCTGGTGAAAAGGCGGATGGTCCCTGCGACGCTATAGATAAGTCAGTGTCTGGCTGGTACCTGGCACCAGCAGGTCTGTGCTATGCTGTCAGTGTCCCAATGAGACATGAACCACAAAGACCAGGGCACCGATTCTACCTGGATTCATCCTTCAGTACACTTGCTTTTCATCAGTAAGTGAGGGACATCTGCCTCAGAGTTTGGGGCAATTGTAAGAGTGAGGGAACAATGCAACATGCCTGCCTTGAGGCCTGGCACCAGGGAATGGACATCAGCCTTAACACCATCACAGCCCTGTCTGGCACCTGGCACAAAGGAGTGGGAATCAGCTTTTAATACCCAAATACCCTGGCTGGGGCTTAAGGTTTTTCCCATCATGACTATATGTAAGCTCTTGTGCATTCATTGACCCCACCACAGGAAGAGTCCTCATCTTCAGCTTTCCACTTGGGGAAGCCAGCTTCTGCCTAGCTCACAAATACAACCAACTCCTAGAACACAAAATACCTCCTTCCTCCATGCTACCTTCATACCTACGCAGCCTTTCCTTGTCCTTCTCACCACTGGACACGGACTTCTACTCATCCACACTGCAAGGTCCCAGCTGTCCCAGCAGGGCCACTCCACAGAGGCTAGCACACAGCAGATTGTTGAGCACATGCCAGTGGATGGAGGAATGAATGCACACTGGGCATGGTTTGCCTGTGGATGCCAACTGTCATCTAAAGAGGGAAGATGTGCTACCCAGGCTACTCTGCCTGCCCCTAGGTTCCTCTTACTACATTCAAAATCACACAAGCTGGCCTGAGCCCCATTTCCCTCTGCTGGGTGCCCCATAGAGGAGCTGGTCCTCTTAAACTGCCTCCTCTGTGACAGTTTAATGTCTTTAGAGCCAAGTGACAAAACTGACGGCTTGCCCACCAAAGGCTCTAATCATCCTGAATCTCTGCATGTCTACATGTTTGTGTTCACATGCGCCAGGGGTCCTGCATCATTCAACCAGCAGAGTCCACCACAGCGCAACTGTCTGGAGGCTCTGAGCACCCCAGCAGGCCTGACCTGTGTGTATTGCTGAGGGCCACCTCCTTCCTCAGTCAACCTCCCTACTACGGTAGTCTCCCTTCTGTGACTTCTTTGGAGTACAGATACCAACTAGACCCCGTGTAAAGCCTGGTAGTACCACACCACCAACTGCACCAGTAAGCTTCTGGTCTCCAACCACATAATGCTCTTAGTGCTGGAGTGGAGGTCCAGACTATAATCACACCTAGCTGTCATGGACAAAGCTATAGAAGTCTTGGCAAGCAGCTTAGGTTGTCTTTCAACTGCAGACTAAGAACATAAATTCATACCCCACCCCCAGTGCTGCTTGTGCAAGTCACATGACTTGGGTACATAAAGGTACAGCACAGAGCTGGCACAGGCTCTCCACAGGTCCAAACTGGGACATGCGTCTGTGTAATAGCATACAAGCTCAGAAAAGAAGCACATATCCAAGCTGTGGTGCCTCTGGTGAAGAAGAACAAGGCTCAGAGGAGTAAAGCAACTGGCCTAAGAGAGCACAGGTGGAGGGTCACAGAGCCTCCTCTCTCCCTGTGTGAGGATCAGTGGTTGCATCCCTCAGACTGGCCCTAAGACTCCTGCTGCTTCAGCAGGTAGCAGTCCATCAACTCCACACAGGCAGCCAAGCCCCAAGACTCTTCCCTTGGGATTTACTTCTTCCAAAGCGGAGCCTGGGCCTCATGAGAACCTGCATCCCAAGCTCCTCTGGCCTTAGAGCCTGAGAGTGCTGCTTCAGAAGAGGCCTTCCTCACCCAGCCTGCTTATTCATCCACATTTTACATGCTTGAGTTCCTGGGGGCCGTGTGCTTCTGACTGTGCTGCACAAATAGGGCACAAACACTAGCTGAGGTGCAGACTCTACAGCCCAAGATTTCTTTAACAAGATAGAACAAAAACCATCACATCGAGGTTGGACAAGGGAAACCAATGAAGAAAAAGAGCTCCAAGAGAAGGCACAAGAATCAGTGACCCACTCATTCACACACTCAGGAGTCCCATAAACATTCTAAACTGAAGCTGTAATATCTATGCAAAGGACCTGGGGCAGACCCATGTTGGCCCTGTGCATGTTGCTTCAGTCTCTGCGTTCATATGAGCTGTGCCTACTTGATTCAGAGGGCCTTGTTCTCCTGGTGTCCTTCAGACCCTCTGGTTCTTACACTCTTTCTGCCTCCTCTTCCACAGGCTTCCCCAGTATAGACCAAGTTTTCAATAGATAAAACAAGCTCAGTGCGGGGCTCCCAGGAACTAATACTCTCACTCTTTTCAGGGGCTACTCCGGAGAGAAGTGCTGGAGAATGATGTAAGGAAGGAAAGTCTCTCTGAATGTCAGGACAAAGATCAGCCGGAGCCTTGACTAGGGAGAAGGTACTTCAGGCAGAAGAAAGGAAAATTGATCAAGGGAGTAAGCATGAGACACAGGGAACCATAAATGTTGTCAGGCCTTGGAGGCACTGCGGTGTAATCGAAGGAGAACTGGAAGTTGCTAAGGGCCAAAGAGATGCAGCTTATATTTTAAAAGCCCTGTTGTTGGTGTGTGAGAAGTTGCTATAGAACGAAAGGAGAAAGCAGGTAAACCATGAGAAGTGATCGCAGCAGGAGGTAAACGCCAGCGTGGTTCGGGCCAGAATTAGCAGCTACATTCTGCACATTTTTTTTAAACAGAATGACAGCTGACCAACGGGATGTGGATGAAGGCTTTAAGTTGGCTGAGGACAAAGTGAGGCTGGGTTACCATGGGCAATCAGGTAGAGAGGGATGGATGTCATCAGGAAAGAGACAAGCTCCAGGAACCAAGCAAATGAATGCAATGTTTTCAGCTCTGAGGCTCTTCTTCAGGGTGCTTCATGCTGCCTGATCTGTACAAAGCAAGTGCTCAATACACACCAACAAACACCACTTATAGACAAAGCAACCAGACGTTTTTGGAGAGCAGGAATCATGGTGTTGGCCATCGGGAAAGCATCTGTAGAGCAGAATCTTTCCTAAGTGGGGGAAGTGGGTCCAGAAGGTCACTCACTGTATGATGACCTGGAATAGGAGAGCAGTATGGCTAGAGTAGGGAAGCTCAGAGAAGCAGGACCCTACCATACTGGGGAAGAGTCTGGACAGGACAGAGTCATGTTTAGCTCCCTGCTTCTCTGAAAGCCTGAAGATGTTTATATGTGCCTGGTGGTAATGGTGACAACACAGAGTTCTTCCCTAATGTAGGTGAGGAATAGAAGGAGAGCTCCTTAGAGTTCCCTAGAGAACAACCAGGAGCCCAGCACACTGTCTGGCTGGCACACCAATGCTCTTGCCACCAGCAAGCCACCGCTACAGACACCTGACAGCTAGAGAGCAGACCCCTGACTCCATGCCTCCTCACCAAGACGTCTTTGTTCCTTCTTTACTGACCACCCATCACACCATGCCCTGGGTGCTGTGGAGAGCAAGAATTAAACAAGACACTGCTACCCACAGAGAACCCTAGCACAGGGCACATGCTGACATCCTCAGAAAGCACACGAAGCCCTGCATGCGAACTAAGTGCATGCGGGATGGGCAGCGCAGGCTTCTGCCCTTTCTCACCACTGTGCCCAGGAGAACCCAACCCTACCAGGGAACTCAGCAGGGACCATGGGGTCTAGCTTGCTGCCATCTGGCTCGAAGAGAAGCTTGGCAAGGCACAGGGCCTGCCCTCCGCCCGCGTTCAATGCACACCTTAGGAGGACGAGTGTGAAGGGCAGACAGCTCCGTGTCGGGGTCACGGGTCAAGGCCCTGCTCTACCAGCTGTGTAGCCGCGGGCACCCAACATTCTCTGGGCAATCCCGCCCCGCCACCTGCGGCCCTCCGCAGCGTGCACCGAGCCAGCCAGCCAGCCATGCCCTCCTTGTAGCTAGGGCCTGCCGCTCACCCAGTTGCCGAAGCCGAACTGCTCGATGGCGTCCAACAGCAGCTGCTCCTCGCGGCTGGTCCAGCCGCCCTCCGCCTCAGGCCCCCAGAGAGTGAATCGTCCGCCGTCCACCAGCTGGTAGCCGTGGTAGCGGCGGTGGTGGCCGATCTCCGCGCCAGCCGAGAAGCACTCGGGGCACAGCTCGATGTCCTGGCACTCGGTGCAGCGGAAGCGCAGCGGGCTCACCTCGGCCAGGCAGTACACGCAGTACTTCTTGCCCAGCTCCGCCATCTTCCCCCGCTCGCCCGCCGCCCGGCCCGCAGCCGCCGCGCCCCCGGCCGTCAGCACCCCGCCGCCTGCCGGGCCTACCGCGCCCGCCGCGTCCGCGCTGCTGCCGGCCGCTGCCACGGCCGCCCCCGCCCAGGCGCCGCCGGAGCCCGCCAGGCGGGCCGCGTCCCGCCTCAGCACGCAGGCGCCCTCCGGCCCGGCCCGGCCGCCGCCGCCGCCGCCGCCGCTGTCTCCCCGCCGCATCGCGCAGGCGCCCCGCGCGCGCCCCCTCGCGGGCGGCCGAGCCTCCGCTCTGCGCCTGCGCGCCACCGCCTCCCTCTGCCTCATGGGCTCGCGCAGCGGCACGGTCCCGCCCCAAGCCTGACAGCCGGCGAGGCGCAGACAGGAAGCCGGTCTTGTGCGCCACGCCTCTCGAGAGCCAGCGTCCAATCAGCGCCTGCCTTCACCTGTTCGTGGTCCTTCATTGGCTTAATATTGCTGGGAGGCGGCGAGAAAGGGAAGGCAGGCGACCAATCGCGGGGCCCACCGCGCGCGCCCTGGTTGCCCCGGGAAACCTAACAGCAAGCTGCAGCGGTCCTCAGACCCGAGACAGCAGGTCGAGCATGGACAGCCACGACGGGGACACCGAAGGCGAAGGAAAAGCCGAGGAAGGCCTGACCAAGAAGCCTTCCGAGACCAGGGTCACCTTCGATCCTCAGATCCCGGCCGACCCTGCGGAGCCAGAGTTGGAGCCGGAGTCGGCGTCGGAAACGGAGTCAGAGCCTGGACCAGAGACCCAGCCGGTTGCGGACGAACCCAAAGCAGAGGTTTCAGAGGAGAGCGATTACGCGCATGCCGAGGTCCCGGAAAGTCTGGAGGCCGCCGAGGCTGCGGGCGAGGCAGTAGAGGCCGCGAGTGAGGCCGTGTCCCGAGAGCCAGAGAGTCTGCCAGAGTCTGGGACCAAGCGGGAGTCCAAGGAGAGGGGCGAGGACGAGGACGAAGACGACGATGAAGACGAGGACGAGGACGAGGACGAGGACGAGGATGAGGACGAGGAACCCGACCAGCCGGAGAAGCAGGATAAGGTGAAGAGGGTGAAGAGCAAGGAGTCACGGTTCCGCCCCCAGCTGCCACTGACCACGATCGTCGAGGAGGCGGCTGCTCCAGCCCCACGGGCTGAGAGAGAGAAAGCAAAGGAGTCAGAGCAGAAGCGAGGTAGCGAGGAGATCGAGGGGACAGGTCGAGAACGACACAAGAAAGGCAAAGACCGGCATCTTCAACCTGGAGATGAGGAGGAAGAGGAGGAGGAGGAGGACTACGAAGACTTTGAGTGGTCTGCGGATTTTCGGAAGCTGCAAGAGCAGCAGCTGCGCGGTGAGCTAGTGGACCAGTACCACGCCTTGCTGGTGGAGCGGAGCCGGTACCAGCGCTACAATGTGTACCTACAGCAGAAGATCTCAGAGGCGCTACGCAAGAAGGGCCTGGAACCAGCTGAACCCGCGGACAAGGGCGCGGGACCAGACTCTCCCGAGAAAGAGCAAGCATACTTGCGCTATCTGGCCATGCTGGAGGAACTGAAGAAACAAGAAGCGGACGACCTAGAGTGGTACCGCGAGGAAGTGCGTGAGATGAAGCAGCAGTGCCAAGAGAAGCAGGCCAGGGTGGAGAAAGAGTGGCGGCGCTTCCAGGCCCTCAAGAAGCAGGTAGTGATGCAGGTCATGGGCAGCTGCCGCATGCGCGGTGGGCGCCAGGCGGCTCTGAGAGAGGTCGAACAGATCCAGGCGCTGGAGGATAAAAAGGAGAAGGAGATGAGCGCAGTGCGTCTCGAGAACGTGCAGCTGAAGCAGAGCCTGGTACACTTTGAAACCAGGATGAAGGCCCAGGAGGACTTGGCTGAGGGGCTGCTCCTCATCGACTTTGAACAGCTCAAAATTGAGAACCAGACCTTCAACGAGAAAGTCGAGGAACGAAACGAGGAACTTTTAAAACTGCGCACTAAGGTGACCAGCAACGTGCAGATTATAACCCATGTGAAAGAAAAGCTGTCTTTCATCGACATGGAGAACGCATGCAAAAAGGCACAACTTTTGGAAATCGAGGCCCAGGTGGCCCTAGGAAGAGACCTATTGACAAAGACGAAGCAAGCCCGAGACAGTCTGCGGACTGACAACATCAGGCTGAATCAGAAATCTGGGCTTCTGGGTAAGGAATCACTGCTCCGAGACTTTGAGGAAAAGGTGGAGAGGACAGAGTATCTCAACAAGCGGCTGGAATCCCTGAAGCGCATTCACGCGGGGCTCACCTTGTCCTGCAAGGGGGTGAAGCAAAAGATCAGAGAAGCCAAAACCTTCCTCCCCTTTTGACAGTCCTTGACAGGACAGTTGGCAAAACCTCCAAAACTCTCGTCTGCCCTCCCATTGTCATTCTATGTGACTTGGGATGCAACTTTATTTTTGTCATTCCAGCTTCCAAATTCCTGCTGAACACATCTGGTTAGCAGTAGTTCTACATAAGGTTAAGTAAAATATATCTAGAGAGAGAGAGTGGGGTGATTAAACCGACTAATGATGAAAAGCCTTTCTAGCCAAGCAGTCTCATAGTCTAGAGGACTGTTAAATCCTTGTCTATATGTAAGGATGGTTTAAAGGTTCAACCAGTGGCCAAGGTACAGAAAATCCCTGTGCATTGTTCTGATCACTCAGTCATCTTTGTGCTAGTTAAACTGTATAGTCTTGAGTCACTGTCTCAATTAGCTCACAAATTCCCTCCATCTCTGTTTGTGGGTGTGTGTTGACATGTAGAGGCCAGAGGAACCAGCATCTCTTGGTCTTCACCTTGATTTTTTGAGACAGGGTCTCTTCCTCAACCAGGAGCTTGCAGTTTCGGTTAGACTGCCCAGCTAGCATGATGATCCTGGGATCTGCTTGTCTCTGTGCCCCAACACTGGGGTTACAGGTATGCAACACCAAGTCTGGCTTTTTTATGTAGGTACTGGGGATCTGAATTCAGATCCTCATGCTTTCAAACAAGCACTCTTACCTCCTGAGCCATAACCTGCGTCAGCAATCTGGCTGTTGGCACTACATAACCCTGCTTCCATTACATGACGCAATTTTGTTTGCTAAAGTATATTGGCTTTGAAATCAAAGTTAAAATCCCTTTTCTGACTTCCATGGCTTGAACATACTTTGCATGAGACCATCCAAATGCATTGCTGAGACAGTTCAAAAACTGATTCCTTCCTTTCCCCCTTGGTTGCTACAGTTTTGGTTTTCCCTCTACTCTGTCCATCAAGGCTACAGAGAAGTAGTAACTTACTGAAACTGGAAATGTCGGCTTTGTGGCTCCAATAGCAGAGGGACCCAGGGTCCTGCAGCTGGGGAGGCTCCCAAGTGAAACTGGCAGTAGCACTAGAAGTGACAAGACGGTTCTTCATTGTAATGGTGTCCTTCTGTGTTTTGATTCGGTCAGCAGATTTCTACCTAACAGCTAACCATCTGAATGCTCCCTCCTGAACTTTGAACAAGGTGAGCAGTGGTCATGCAGGGCACTAAGGTCAGCATGCCGAGTTGCTAAGGTGTCCTAACTAACAATTATGTAGGAAGTCACCAGTGGGCTCTCAATCACAACACCTCATGCTGGAGGGATTACAACTAATTACAAGACACCCTTCATTTTTGATTACCTCCCTGCGTGGTTCTAATTAAATTCAGGATGAGTGCTTGATCATGAAATTTCATCAAAGTAGTTCAGGGCCTGTAAAAAAATGTAGGCATTGAACAAATTCTGCCTGATATTTTAAGTCGATATGCATGAGAAGCGCCCCCTTCAATAGCCAAGGAGGGTCTGTAATTCAGCCACCTACTCAGAGACAGCCTAAGGTATTGGAAAAGGAAACCTCATTTTGGTGACTTGCTACAGTTAAGAGTCTTAAATTATATAAGTAGAAATAGGTTTGTGCAAGTTCATCCACAGACGATAATTCAGGGCTTTGACACTCGTATGAGCCACCTGTCCATAAAGTATCACAGTCCATGCCTTCCAGCTATTCACTGCTCATGTATTGAACCTCAGAGGGTTCCAGAGTGCAAGTGACACAGATGCCATGAAAGGAACGCAGCTTGGAGCACATGTGCAGTGACTAATCCATCTCTCTTTGAAAATATCCTTATTTTTACTTAAATAATCAATGACAAAATATGTGCATATTTTAATAAAATTGCACTAATTATTTTTGGTTTGGTTTGGTTTTTCAAGACAGGGTTTCCCTGTGTAGCCCCGGCTGTTTTAAAACTAGCTCTGTAGACCAGGCTTACCTAATACTCAGAGATCTGTCTGCCTCTGCCTCTGCCTCCTAAGTGCTGGAATTAAAGGCATGCACTACTACCGCCTCAGCTCACTCCCTAATTTTTTTTTTTTTTTTAAATTCAGATAGGGTCTCACTGTATATGCCAACTGGCCTCATTTGTGATCCTCCCAAATACTAGTATTACAGGTGTGTGCTGCCACATCCAGTTTCAACTCTAACGTTTCATCCAAATACTGTCAAAGAGGAACACAAGTATACCAAAAAGATATGGGAAGGCCCAAACTGTGATCCTGCTGACCTGAATGGAACCTAACCCTCATTGTACTGATTCAGGAAATGGAGAAGCATTTGAAAAAAAGAAAGAGTGCCTTCCTTTGGGTGATAAAATTAGGAGGAATTTTCTCTTTGTGCTTTTCCATATCCTCATCTTACATGTGTATTTATAGCTATATATTAATATAATATTTATAATATATAAATAATATACAAATATTCAAGCAGAAGCTAATAAACGTTGTGGAGATGTAGTTCAGGGATAGAGTGTTAGTCTAGCATGAGCAAGGCCTTAGTTGGTTCCCCAGTACTGAACTGGAAAATGTACAGCCACATGCCAGTTTAAGCAAGGCTTGGTACACGCCTGTAATACCAGCATCATGAGCTACAAAGTGAGACCATGTCTTTCTCTCCCTCTTTCTCCTCCCCACCCTCTCTCACACACAAGATACTAAAAGTTTATAGGCTAAAGGTACAAATCTAGATGCCTGGAGAATGTTCACGGGTTAAGGGGAAGTTCAGTCTCTTATTTATTAATACTTCATAAGCCTGGAAAGGAGCTAGGTCTCTCACCCTTTAGTTACAAGGGGAGAAAAAAGGTTGAGAGAATTTCAGTGAATTCTCCAAGATCACGAAGCTTCTAAATGGCAATGGCTGGTCAGTGACTGTGAGATTCAACTCTAGGGTCCTGCTCTTGCCATCTAGCCAAACTATCTGCAACCTGGGCTTATTTCTGGTTAGGAGTAGTATCTACTGGAACTCTAGAACAGGGACAAGAAGCTCTTTGGAGAGAAGGTGGCTCCCTCACTCCACACAAAACTCCCTGCAAGGCATAGGAATCCTGGGGGAAGGAGGAAAGGGAGCTTTGTTGGCTGATTGAAGACCAGAGAGTAGCACATCATTCCAGAATGAGCTGGCAATGGGGGGTTGCTGGCAGTACTGACAGAAGAGATGCATAGACACTATGTCATGGCCATGTCCCATGTACTCAGCAGGCCTGAATCACATCAAATATTTCATAGCATATTTAGTCCCACACAAAGCATATCCATTCATTTCCATTCCAGTTCAAGCACTTCCGGGTCTGGATGAGGTCCCACCTAAGAACTGGTCTTAAGCCGGGCGGTGGTAGTGCACGCCTTTAATCCCAGCACTCGGGAGGCAGAGGCAGGCGGATCTCTGTGAGTTTGAGGCCAGCCTGGGCTACAGAGCGAGTTCCAGGACAGGCCCCAAAGCTACACAGAAACCCTGTTTCGAAAAACCAAAAAAAACCAAAAAACAAAAAAAAACAAACTGGTCTTAGGATCTAAGGCTGCCCTCTGCTGGCCAGAACCTTGCCCTTGTCCACCTGAAAGCTCTGCTCAGGTTCAGTAATGTCGCTTCCTCCTGCTGCTGGATACTAGTGTAGCGGTTCCTCCCCTCTTCAGACATGTTCATGACAGGCAGGGTTTCTGAACTGCTGGCCCCAACCTGAAGGCATCCAGCAATGCACACTGGAAGTATTGGAAGGAATGAGAAATCTAGGCCACAACCAGCCCTGTGTTTGGGCTCCAAAGGTCCAAAGCAAGCGTGATCTCTCCAGAAGGCATTCAGGAGCCAGCACTTTTCTTAGGGGTGGTATAGATGCCAGCTCTGCTACCAGTCTGCTGAAGGAGCCTGAGCAAGCATTTTGTATCACGTTCTTGGAATGGGGACAACGAGTCTCTTACATGGGGCTGCTGCGGAGGTTAATAATCCATGTAGAACACTTGGTCCAGAGCCTGGTATGGCTGGAGCAGTCAGCCAGCCCTCAGCAACTCTAGAGTTTATCACCTCACTGCCTGCAAAGAACACGAGCTCAGAGAATGAAGCCACTGGTTTAGAGGTGAAGGCAGGCCCTGTGTCTGTCCCTGCTGGAGGCTGTAGCACATTGGGCCATCTCCCAACAGTCGTGGGAGACTTGGAGGTGACAGCAGTGGGGGACTGAAAGGAGAGTGGCATACACAAGCATTTGCCCTGTCTGGTTCCAAGTAGCTTGTGGACCCTACCACATAGTGTTGTGCGATATTTTGTTTGTGTTCTGACAAATAAAGCTTGCCTGGAGATCAGAGGGTGGAGCTAGCCACTAGTTAATCATAGAAGCTGGGCAGTGGTGGCACACACCTTTAATCCCAGCACTCAGGAGGCAGAGACAGGAAGTGATAAGGCAGGTGGGACAGAAACAGGATCATGGCTCCTTTAGGTCTGAGGATCCAGAGAGGTAAGAAGTCACTGGTGGCTGCTCCTCTGCTTCTCTGATCTCTGATCTGGTTATTACCCAGATATCTGATTCCTGGTTTTTATCCATAAGACTAATTAGGTTCATGCTTCAACATAACCACTTTCCTAAGTGGCTCATAGGAAGGAGCTCATCCCCTGTGCCCCCAGGTTTACAGGCTCTGGGAAAGCTCCAGAGTGCAAAGAGCTTTGGCTCAGCAGCCAGCACAGAGTAAATAAATATGGTTGTCTGCTCTCATGGGAATGCAGACTTACGGTGGGGAGGTCAAGGCAGCGGAATTCAGGGAGTGCAGCATGGCTGGGATCCCCAACAACTTGGAGAGAGCATGCTGAACTCCGGAATCCCCTGAGGAGAGTAACTGCCCTGCTTTGTGCCTCACAAGCCCTGAATTAAAATACTTTCTGCTACACTTCAAAGCAAGAATGTCAGCTTTAAACCAAAGTACACAGTGAACATAAGTAACAATTTTACATGACTTTATTTTAATAAAACCACGTATTTACAATTCAAAAAGTCCTAGTTTGATACATTTTACTAAATAAAATTAAAGGTTAACTGTACAAGCAATTAAAACATGATATGTAGCAAGTGTTATCAGGAGTTTCCTACTGGCAAACTGTTTAAAAATAGTCACAAACTGAGCAGTTAGAAGTACCTTTGAAGTGAGCACTGCTCCCAAGGTGACAGGAAGCCTCTCCTGCAAGCTCCCTCTAGAGTGAGAGCTGCCCAGCACCCTCAAGTTTGGGGACTGAAAGTGAGGTGGGAGGTGCAGACTTCTGTAGGGTCTGTTTCCAGTTTGCCAAAACAGAAGGAGTATGAGAGATGCCCTCAGAGTAGAGGAACTTGGAACTGTAGAGCCTCTAAGGAGGGCACACCAGGCTCACACAAACAGGCTCTAAAAACCCTGTTTGGACTAGAGATGCAGTCAGTGCATGGCTGGCATGGAGTCTTGTTTGAGACTTCATGCATGCCCACAGATTATGTCAAACAAGAAAAGTTAAGAGCTGGGTTGTGAACACACAGAGAATTCCACAATGGCATTCACAACAAGGTGCCCAGTCCCCTTGTCACAACACTTTCTGTATGACTTAAGGAATGTCTTTATGTACAGTAAGAAAATATATACATCTTGAGAGAACAGATGCCCATGCCATGGAATAAAACTAGGTACATCTGCAATGAACAACAGCAGACAGGGCTGGGTAGTCTACTTCTTACAGGCCAGCTGGGCCTGGGCTACATTCAGATCTGATGTCAAGAATGGCTGGATCTGGAGGCCACTGGATGGCTGGTGAAGACATCCTCCTCCAAGAGGTCAGACATCAGCCTTTCACACTAAGGCAGAGAGCTATATGGAGGGTGCTCCGTAGCCTCCCTGGAGAAGCCATGAGACTACAGATGAGACTCCAGAAAAAAAGAAAAGTGGTGGCATGGATGAATGGCATGATAGCCTGCTGATGCATTGGACGATCACAAACAGAGCAGATGAAGGGAACCCATGCAAACACACTGTCCTAAGGCTGACCCAAGTCTCCCTGCCACATGCTGTAGTCAGTCAAGGGCTCCCCAATGGCTGTCAGAAACTAGAACGATGGAGAGGACGATTTCTGGGGGCAGCAGGTATGGCTGCAGAGGGTTGTAGACTACAGACCACACAGGCATTTGCTGGAAAATATGTTCTCAACCCTGGCCTACCTGTACCCCAGGAACAAGGATGCCAGTGGATTATCAGGAGGTAATCAGTTTCCACAGATACTGAATGTCCTTTGTATTATTCTATGCAAAAACTATTCATCTCTGTGAATTTGGATAATCAAATTACTTATACAAAGTTATCAAGTCAAGGAAAAGCTCCAACAACCACCACCTCCCCAGTAAGCTGAGAGAGAGCAGCTGGAATGGGGAAGGGCTGATGACACTGAGAATCCGGAAGACTGCCTTACTCTTCGGTCCGCACAGCAGTGTTTAAAGCTCATCTTCTAAAGCCAGATGGGGACAGGAAAGAATCACTGGCACTTAGAAGGGGTACAGCTGCTCAGGTGACAAAGGCAAAAAGAGACATTCGGCTAAAGCAAGGAAACCATCTCCCACACAATGGTGTTTTCAGAGGCTGCCATGCCCAGCCTCCCAGAAACAAGCAGGTAAGAGAAGAGCAAATTTTACAGTCCCTTCCTACCCCTTTCTTTACAGGGACGGTCTCTACCCCTTCTCAGCATGTGGCTCGCCTGCTCCAACCACAGTTGCAACCAAGATGCAATGAGTGCTGCTTTGGAGAGTGGGATCCTAATGTGAACTCTCAGCCTTCCTGCCATCAGGTGTCAAGGCAACAGGGTCAAATGTCAACACAAAGGTCAGGTGAATTTTCAGGAGCCTATGAGCATTCACCAGCAACTATTCTACAGGGTCCATCTTCCTTATGCTGTCCTTAGAAGGGAGATTAAAAAGACACCTTCATCTCTGGAAAGATTATCTCAGTAACTAAATAAGTAATTCCTTTCTTATCCAACATATGAGCCAGTAACATCTCTGAGGTCTCCTAATAATATTTCTCATGCATCTTGGCTAAGAAAGATTGTAATGTACCTTCCAGTAGTTGGCATAATTGCATCACAATTTAATTAACTGCTGCTGGAATAAAGGAGCAAGGAGACAGCCTGCCCTTTCTTGAACCCATGTGGAAAATGCAGTGGCTGGCCATGACCAATTCCAGTGCATAGGTCCACTGAGCTGCTTAAGGCTAAGCCTGGATGTAATTCTTTAAGAGCTGTTTTGTTTTAAGGCCAACTCCAGCATCTGAAATCCAACACGGAAAGAGCCCCTGTTTTTCCCAGGCTTCGGTCTGAAAGCACACAGGTGCCATTTGGAGCTCTGCTTCAGTGGCAAGTGGGAGTTACCCGAGCCTCAGTGTCTGAGGGATGGGCTTCCTTTTTCCATTTCCCGGCTGTCTTTCTGCAGCGCAGACAGCACCTAGAATCACAGAGAAGACAGCTATGGTTAGACCCACAGACCACACTGACCTGAGAATCTCATAGGAACAGTAAAAAAAAAACAGCAGCCATCAAACACTCCCACCCCACCCCCTACATGCCCATTTTCTGGGCTGTCTAGCCCCTGAACACAACACTGAGGCCCAGGTTTCCCTCCCAGGGCACTAACAAGCCCCCTCCCCCATGTTGCTCATATGGCCGGTCCCTTTCACCAGGATGTCGGCCAGACAGAGGTGTGGCACAGTCTTGGAGTGACTGCTCCCTCCTTTGCTCTCCCAGCTCTTGGTTGACACCTTGAAGGGACATCCCACTGCACTGCTGCCTAACAGCCGCAGTGACAACCAAAGGCTACATTCCTAAGCCCACTGCATGCCAAGCAGAGTACTCTATGAGACCAGACTGCCATCATCTTCAACCCCACCTTTCCATCTGGATTCAAAAGCCACTATAAGCAATAGGCTACAAGATTCCAAAAACTTTCACACAGGCCCCCACCCAGCTTTCAGAGGGACTCTCCTCAGCTTCAGGCTCTGTTGCCACCATCTTGAAATTCTCAGTAACTTTAGAGTCAGGGTCCCATGTTTCTATTCACACTGTTCTTTGTTTATTAATCAGAGAAAGGCTCTCCTCTGCCCCTGGATCCCTGACGACAGCACAGTCAGTTCTGCTCTCATGTGAACTGAGTATACCTTTTTAATTGCTTTGCTGAACTATGTAATTCACAGGCAGTTCACCCACATAAAGCATGCCAGTCAATGGTTTTCCAGATCTTCAAAAATATGTGCAAACCTCACCAAAAGTCAACGTTAAAGCATTTTCATCCCCTCAAGAAGTGCCTCGGGCCGTTGAGACAGCTCAGTGGGTAAAAGTACTTGCCACCAAGCCTGAAGCCCTGTGTGTCATGCTGGGACTCACAGAGTGGAAGGAGAGAACCAATTCCCATGAGCTGTCTGCTGACCTACACTCTCTCATTATGGGACATGCGCCGCCCTCTCTCACGTAGTCATATACACAGGGAAGAGGGGAGCTTTCTGGTGGAGTCCTACAGAGGTGACCTAGAAGTGCTGACACTACAGAATGGGACAGTCTTCCTACACACACTCCTCTAGCTGTCAGAAACCCAGACATGAGCCAAGCCACGTGCCTTCAGCCTGAGCATCATTTTCAAAGACAGCCCGCCCTCTTCTAAAAAGGCTCACTGAGCAGCACACTGCTCCAGTCTCACAGCTCTGCCACATACTCGCTTACCTGTGCCCATTTCTTGTTCCGGCTCTGCATCTGGACTGTGGAGATGGCTGCAAACACCTCATCTGCTGGCAGGTCCTCAGGCAGCCTGGTCAGAAACTGGGCACTGTGGATGAAGTCCATCCTCGTCAGGATATCCTCGAATAGCTTCAGGATGCCCAGAGCTGTTCGGAAGAGAAATTCCTCCCCGTCTCGACAGAATACATCCCAGATGCGGCAGGCCAGGTCCAAGGGCAGGGACTTACTGTACAAGGTGAAGATCCTGGGGAGAGATGGAGCTTTTAGGTTTGGAATGGCATAAGGTATGCACAACACCCTGAGTCCCTGACTTTTACATACTGTGGATGGATGATACTGGCCTGCATTCACTCTGGGCCAATTGACATTTTACACAAAACAGCACTGTCAGCATCAAATGTATTATCAAGCACCACACAGCTTCTGAATCACAGATATTGGATAACTCCTACTTGGAGCAGGTATCTATCAATCACCTACTATGTGCTCCCTGAGACAGGTGACACATACTAGGTCTAGTAAGACAGGCTATATAGCTCAGAGCATGGAGTCAGCTAGGGAATAAGAACAGAAAAGAGAGTACTATTTGTCATTCTTGTAGGGGGGTCAGCAATGAAGCAAGGTGTAAATTTTTCTGTTGTCATTGTTTGGTTTTTGAGACAGAATCTAGTTACACAGCAGACTATGCTGGCTTGGAATTCATGATTCTCCTGTTACAACCTCTGAGTGGTGGGATATAGGCATGGCTTCTCAATGAATCTGACTGTAGATTACTAAAAACGGACCTTATATTTTAATAATGCAAACCATCAGATGAAAGGTATTCTCTTAACTCAGTGGTAAAGTGAGGACCTGAGTGACACACAGCACCCAGGTGCAGTGGCATGCACTTGTAATCTCAGGGCTTGGGTGGCAAAGAGAGGCAGATCCTTGGGGCTCAGTGGGCGGCCTGGCCAGCCTGGCCAGCCTACTTGATAATGCCAGGACACTGAGAAACCCTGACCTTAAAAACAAGTTGAATAGCTTCTGAGGGATGAACCCTAGAGCTGACCTCTGGCCCACACGTGTGTATGCACTCACACACAAATGATAATCACAATCCAAACTACCTAACAACTGTGCTGGAATAACACCTGTGCCCCGGGGTCAAGCACTTCTAATCTGGATTGGGCCTATGTCAACAGGTGGGTCTAGAGCACATGCTCTGGTTGGTATTATAAAGTGAGAAGTCTGGGTATGGTGGTGCACATGTGTAACCCCAGTCCTTGGGAGGCTGAGGCAGGAGAATGGCAAGTTCAGGCCAGCCTGGGTTATAAAGCAGCACTCTGTATAAAAATAACTAAAAATGAGAATGTAGAAACCTAACCTGCACCTCCCACACACAAACACCAGTCCACACATAAGAACCATGTCTCCTATCTCCTTAAAGACTGATAGGGCCAATAAGAACAACAAAAAAGGATTCCCCCACATTTTTTTTTTTTTACCCCAAATCCATGATGTAAACTTGATTCTTTTATTTTTCTCATGTAGCATAAAACTACTGAATTCAGATTTGCATGTAGATCTCCATCAACTCCTTTAGGCAGGTATGAGACAACACTGGAATAGCAAGGTCGTGTCTCCCTGAGGATGGCTATGTACCAATCCCTTCTGATTCTAAATAGCTCAGGTCAGGCATCTTTTTTTTTCTCTCCCTAGATTTATTTTTAATATTTTAGATTATGTGTACATGTGTGAGTATGTGCACATGAGTATAGGTACCTGTGGAAGCCAGAGGCATCAAGTCCCCTTGGAGCTGGAGTTTCAAGTGGTAGTGAACCACCTGATGTGGGAACTGCGAACCAAACTTGGGTCCTCTAGAAGAGTAGTGTGTGCTCTTAACTACTGAGCCCACTGGGCATCTTTAAAAAGGACACAGTAGACCAGATGGCCTCAAGCCTGCCATCCTTCTGTGTCAAGTCTCAGAGTCCTAGGTCATCAATACTTTTTAGAGGCCTACAATATGCTACTTGCTACTCACTGGTGATAAAGGTGCAAAGTGCTGAACAGACGACTCTGGACAAACAACACAGATGGGGTGTAAGAACAGAAAGGGGTTGTCAGGGGGGTACGCACTATGCACACACAGAAGGGTGAATGCATGCAATGCTCTTCTACATCGGGCCATCAGGGCAGAACACATTGCTGAGGAGAGGCAGTTCCATCCACCCTAAAGAGGAAGCAGGCAGCCAGGAGAGGAGCTCAGGATGCTCCCCACACCTGCAGCAGAGTTCATGACAACTACATTATCTGAGGACAGCATGACGATGAATCACGC